TATATATAAATCTTACAATACCAAGATAAAAATAAGCTAGAAAAGTACTAATGCAAATAGGAGAAATTTTGGAAACTCATCTTAAAGTGGCCGACACCACAGGTAAAATTAGTATATGAGTAATCAAGAGTTTACTTTGCCACTTTGCCTTTACAATGATGTTTAGATAGAGTTTGAGCTTCTCATTAAATAAGCCTCAAAAAAAATTGTAAAAAATTATCTTTCTGTGTTCCAGGAGCTTTTTCAATTTCTTTCACAGTACATCATTTAATACAACAATCCTGTGAGGGGGACATAGTGGTAATATCACCATACTTGTTTTACAAATAAGATCATTAAGATATAGCCAAAAGTTCAACAACTTATGCAACAGTCATACAATTTATGAATAGTAATAATAATTGACACTCATCACAGACATTCTAACTCTCCAAGAAAGAGTCGGATTTCTGCATAGGATTTCCAAGGTTGTGATCTTTATAGATGCCTGGTGGGTATCAACTACTGACTTTTCCATTAGCAGCTGAGTACTTTAACGCCTGTGATACCAGAGCTCTAGTAAATGGTAATATAAGTATGTAAAAAATATCTTAGTCCAGAGCCAGTGTTCAGCACCACTGTTTGTGACAGCCTTACCTGGGTTTGGTGTTTTTGGTTCTTAATCTTTGGTATATTATGTCTTTCTAAGATCCTTCTCTAAAAATGGAGTTTACTGTTATTTGGAGGAGAATTAGCATTTATTGAGTGCCTACCAAGTGTTGCTTTTATACACCATATGCTAATTAATGAATATTTTTAGTTCTCTTTCTCTTTTTTTATACAATTTTGATTCAAGCTTGGCTTACTTACTAGCCACTATCTCTTAGTCAAAGAATTTTATCTCTGTGAGGAAAGGGTAAAGTTCACTTTAATATTGAAATTCTGAAGTGGTTAAAGGAATTACAGTGTGCTTTAGTGGCCCAGTGGATAAGCAGTTGCACTGCCACACCACAAGCAGTCTGCCAGCTGCTCCCTGGAGAAAGGTAAGCCATGTCCTCCAGTGGGATTCACACTTTCTGTAAACCCACTGGCAGGTCAGCTGTGAGCTTGATGGTACCCAACAAGAACAAAGTATAAGAGCATTCTCAGTAACACAAGGGATTACTTTTACTTGATAGACATTGCTTCCTTTTTGTTCAAATTCTTTCTAAAAAGAATTCTAAAATAAAATGCTTTATAAAATAGTAGAACTACATTCTTTGCTTCCGTATATCTTATTCTGGATCAATAAAAATCTCTGTTTGTAAAAAAAAATCTCTTTGTTGTACATTCTTCCTGCTGTTTAGGTATCATAATAGCTTGTGTAACATACTCCTAGGCAAAAAGAAGTCATTAGCCATTTTTAACTTTACTGGCTCTTCAGAGTTACCGTTATCCATATATAGCTATAATGACCTACTCATTTGTACTTACACAAAAAGATGTCAGTTTAATATTTTGGCATATACTTGTATACAATTATATAGTTTTAATATTAATATATTGCTCAACAAAGGAAGAGAAATAGGTAATTAACCATTGGAATTGAATACCAATTTTTAATAAGGGTGATTTGTTCATATAATTTCATTGGTGTTTCAATTATTTTATTCTTTTTTTTAAAGGGATTTGAAAATATCTTCAGTTGAAATTGGCCTTCCTGGAACCAGTAATCCCATTAGGCTCTTCACTCTGAATCATTCTCTAACAAATGCTGCAGCTGAAAAGCAAGTTGGTTCTTACCCTGAATTACGACAACTAATGCCACTAGATCTCTGCTGGTCCTATGCAGATGGAGACTTTTTTAAGGACAGAAATGAGTCTCGAGCTAATTTATGGCCAGCTGTAGAAAGCAGCAGTAGTGAAACTGTAACAGCTCTAAATTGGAATTTTAAATATGAAAACAACAATGTAGAAGAAATTTTAACAGATGAAAGTGATTCATCAGAAAATGAAAAAGCAAATGATACTTTACTTACCTATTTTAAAAAGATGGATTTGAACTTAAAGCCAGAAACAATAGAAAATCTCAAAGAATCTTTCACAGAGGAACCAAATGAAGTTTTTCCATATCCTGATTTTCTTCCTCCACCCTTCAATACTCTGGACTTACACAAGTTAGCTCTCTCAAAATCTGAAAATTGGAAAGCAGCTTTGGAACCACCAGAAAGTTCTATTGAACCCTTAATAACTCGTTTACTTGAAATGGAACGACTACAACATATGACAATACAAAAAGAGAGAGCAAGACTACAAACTAACTTACATACTTCAGCAGTTACTGATAGACCTTCTTCTTCAAAAGCTATATCCAAAGTCAGACAGCCAAAACTTTCTGATTCTTTGAGTCTTCCAACAGCTTGTCTAGAAAAGAGCAAAGAAAAAAGGAAAAATAATTCTGGTTCTTGCAAACTTGAACAAAATGTTTCAAAATGGAATTGGAATAGTGCTGGAAAATACAGATGGAATTCCAAATCAACATCTCTAAAATCTTCATTCGCAACAAAACAATTGATTTCAATTTATGATGATGTTAAGAGTCCTAGAAACTCCATTTCAAACCCATGCCAAGAACTCTCAGCCAAGCCCAGTACTGACCAAACATCCCAATCACTGGTTAAAATACTCTCAACAAGATGTTTGCCTCCAAAGTCTCCAGTACCAATTTCACCCATACCTCTGTCTTTTTCTGAACACCAGAGAAAAGAAACTAGGCTACCAAGGACCAAAAAGAAACTTTACCATAAAAGTATAGTATTGGATAGACCATTCTATATTGAGAAGCTAAATTGTTTATCACCTTCATTTATAGCTAAGGGTAAGTGCTCACCCACCGATCAAAAATAACCTTACCTCCAACCCATGCATCTAAATGTGAGCAAACCCATTCCCAGAAGCCTATTATCCAGAATTATGGTTCATCATTCTGAGTAACAGGCATTGACACACACCCCCCCCCGGCCACACACACACATTTACTTGATATGCAGTGCAGCTTCTGTAAATTACGGCTAAAACATCTGTATATAAATCCAGGAGCTACTACAATGATATATTTGACAATCTTTTACATGTTATGATTGAAAGAAATGTTTCACTTATTAAAGTAAACATTTTATTCAAAAGATTGTTTTAATCAAAAGGTTGTTCCTTTGTTATGGTTGGTTTGCAGTATAATTCCATCATCAATAAATATATAACTGACTTCTTACTGCTGTAGTTTTTCTTTCATTGTCTTCTGTTAGACACAAGAGTTGTAGTGGCCTTTGTCAATGATTCTTTAGTCCTCCCTAGCCTAGTCTTTTTTTTTCAATCTGTATTCAGAACAGATCATCCGGGAGGCTGGACTCTATGTGGAGAAATGTGGCATCAGGATTGGTGGAAGATCCATAAACAATCTGCGTTATGCAGATGACACAACCCTGCTTGCTGAAACTGAGGAGGACCTGAAGCGCTTGCTGTTGAGGGTCAGGGACTGCAGCCTTCAATATGGATTGAGGCTCAATGTCAAGAAGACAAAGATTGTCACCACTGGGCCAATTGGCAGCATCAGGATGGATGGTGAAGAGATTGAGACTGTTCACAGCTTTAGTTTGCTTGGCTCCACAATCAACACTCTTGGCACCAGTAGCCAGGAAATTAAAAGACGTATTGCCATGGGAAAGTCTGCTGTTAGGGACCTCTCTAAAGTACTCAAGAGCAACGGTGTGTCTCTGGAGACAAAGGTGCATCTGGTACAGGCCATGGTCTTTGCAATCACTTGTTATGCATCGGAGAGCTGGACAATGACCAAGGAGGATAGCAGGAGAATTGATGCTTTTGAGCTTTGATGTTGAAGAAGAGTGCTGAAGGTGCCATGGACTGCTAAGAGGACAAACAGATTGATCCTGGAGAGGGTTAAACCAGGCTGCTCCTTGGAGGCAAGGATTCTGAGGCTTCGTCTGACATACTTTGGTCATGTTGTAAGGAGAGACCAGCCCTTGGAGAGGGACATCATGCTTGGGAGGGTGGAGGGCAGGCGCAGGAAGGGAAGGCCCTCTGGGAGATGGATTGATTCAGTGACTGGGGCAATCGGGATGAGTGTGTTGAAGACAATGAGATTGGCACAGGACAGAGCAGAGTTTAGAGCTGTTGTACAGAAGGTCGCTATGAGTTGCAAGCGACTCGATGGCACATACAACAACAACAACCCTTTCCATCTTCACAGATTTCTTCTTTCTCTCAAGGATGGATTTTTATCAATTCCTCTGGCATTTCCTTGGCCTTTAAAAGTAAAAGGAACTTGGATTTTATTAAATTAACCTATGAGGCACTGTAGTTCCTATGAATTCTTTAAGACATTCCACTCCTTAGTCACTTCTTTGGCTAGCACATAAAAATAGAATTAGTTGTCTTTATGATCAAACTACAGGTTCAAGTTTGAAACAAACCTCAAATGTCAAGGGCAAATTTGGAAAGGTCCAAGCAGCAGTTAAACTCTGATGTCACTTGTTTGTCCCCTAGAGAGGGCTTTGTTCCTAGAAATCCTAATTATTTGATATTCAAATAGTTAAAAAGCTAAATTTTAGTTTTTATTTGATCCCATCTATCCGAAATGCTATCATTTAAAACATGTAATCAGCATAAACAAATTATTAATGAGCTATTTTATATTCTTTTTGTTTTTATTAAGTATTTGAAATCCATCCAATGTGTATATTTTTACATTTGCAGCCATCTCAATTCATACCATCCATGTTCCAAGTGTTCAGTAGCCACAAACAACTCGTGGCTATTAGGGAGCCTATAGTCACTGAATTTTTTATTTTATATTAATGTATTGATTTCAATGAACATCTACAGTGATTTTGGATTTCCATTCATTCATTGTTGCACTTTTCTCCCCACCCACCCCACCCCCCCAGTTTCCTCTTCTTCTTGAGAAGCAAAAGAAAAACTCCTTCACTGGTATACAATCCCTCCACCCCTACCCTGAGTATACTTTACTCTGCAACCCTCATTTCGAACTGTTATGATAATCATAATACCCTAAAATATATTGCTTTTAAAGTATTCTCTCCCTCATCGGCTTCAATGCAGTATACATAATTTATCCAGTTTTTCTCAGTCTTACCCCAACCCTCATTCTACAACAGTGGCACCATAGAGTATTTGTCCTTTTGTGACTGAGATACTTCACTCAGCATAATGTCCTCTGACATCAATGTCTGCTACGTCACAGAGGCAATCAGGCATTATTAAATACTTCCCCTTCAAAGATTAGCCTGCCAAAACAAAACAAAATCCCACTCTAACCAAACCTAGATTTAATTACCAATTTACAGACTAAAAGGAACATGTTAAATTGTTCACTGACACCTCAAGGATACAGTTAGCAAAGACTCTGTAGAAACCCACTAAACCGTCAACTGTGAGCAGTTCCTAATCAATAGCACTGAATTAAGTCTATGTCTGGCCTTGAAAGGAACCCCACAAATGTCTCTCAAAATGGCTGTATTACTCTGCTTTCTACAGTTTGTGTGAGAAACTATAAGGATGTCCAGGATAAGGCAAGGTTCCAATCTGTCGTTCGGAGGCTTGCGGGGGGAGGGGGTATTGTAGTTAAATGGTGCAATATTTTTCCATGTCAGACTCCAGTTGTTCATTTCTCGTGTGTGTGTTCATTTATATATGAAAGCATTTGACTTTTGTATATTAGCCTTGTGTTTTATAAACTTAGTGTAATTGCTTCAGAGTTCCAAGAGGTTTTATTGATGTCTGAATAAACATTCATACCATCTGTGAACAATGGCAACTTTATTTTTACCTCCTAACAGTTTTCCTTATGATTAGGCTTCCAGTCCAGGGAGTTTTGGTGGCCTAGCAGTAAGAAGCTGTACTGTAATCTCAAAGATACATAGTTCAAATTCACCAGCTGCTCTATGGAGGAGGATGGACAGGCTATTCCCAGGTGACTTACTGCCTCTGTAAACCCACTGGAGGGTCATATTAATTTCAACTTGATGTCACACAACAACAACAACAGGCTTCCTTTGCAGTGTTCAGTGTATGATGAAAGTTTGTCTCACATATTTTGGACTTCTTGTTAGGAGGGGCTAGTCCTTGGACAAAGACATCATGCTTGGAGGGTAGAAGGTAAGTGAAAGAAAGAAAGACCTTCAAAAAGATGGATTGACAAAGTGGCTGTAACAGTGAGCTCCAGTTTCTTAGGTGAGATGGCACAGGAGAGGGCAGGGGTCAGATCTGTTCATAGGGTTGCTATGACTTGTAGTTTACTTGATGGCTCCTAACTACAACAGCAACAATGACATTAATATGAAAATAAAGTTGTTTTTTAGCCTGTTGCTGAAATGAGTTAATTTTAAAGTGTTGAACCAGCTTTGCATACCTGAAATAAATCACACTTGACCAGGTTATAAAATTCTTTCAATAAATTGTTAAGTGTGATTTCCTTATATTTTGTTCAAGATTTTGCATCAATAATCATAAAAATACTGATCTGTAATTGACTTAGTGGTAAGGAGTTGGGCTATCAACCCAAAGCTTGAGTCTACTAGACTCTCAGGAGAAAGATGGGCAATCTCCTCCCGTACAATTTGCAGCACCTGAAAATCCACTGCAGGGCCAGCCATTATGCATGTGTGTGTGTGTGTGTGTGTGTGTGTGTGTGTGTGTGTGTGTGTGTGTGTGTGCGCGCGCGCGCACGCGTATATAATCATATCATCTGCAAATAAAATTCAAACTCACTGCATTTGAGCCAGAACTGACTCACCATGACCTTCCAGTGAGTTCTTAAGAGGCTGTAAATCATCATATGGAAGGAAATTTCCCATCTCTCCCTTAGAGCTACTGGATGATTAGAACAAGACAGAGAAGTGCCACTTTTGTATTATTGTTATGTGCCATCGAGTCGCCTGCGACTCATAGTGACCCTATGTACAAGAGCCCTAAACACAGTTCTATCTAGCCATCTCAGATGCACTCATTCCCACCACTCCAGTCACAGAATCGATCCATCTCATTGAAGGTCTTCCTCTACTGCACCGCCCCTCCACTCTGCCAAACATGATGTCCCTCTCCAAGGACCAGTGCCTCCTTGTAACATGCCCAAAGTATGTCAGATGAAGCTTCAGAATCCTTGACTCCAAGAAGCATTCCAGCTTCTCCATTTAGAGATAGTTACTTCTTTGGCAATTTGTTGTTGTTAGGTGCCATCAATTGCCCATGACTCATAGTGACAACAGATCTGAAACCTGTCCTATCCTGAGCCAGTCTCATTCCAACACACCTACCCCCTTTACCCCAGTTACCAGGGTCTTTCTGTCCTGCACTTCTGTCCACCCTTCCAAGCATGATGTCCTTCTCCAAAGACTGCTCCCTCCTGGCCAGGTGCCCAAAGTATGTGAAACAGAGCTTCAAAATCCTTGCCTCCAAGGAAAAACTTGGTTTTACCTTCTTCAAAACAGACCTGTTTGTTCTCTTGGCGGTCCATGGTATGTTCAACACTCTTCTCCAGCACCACAACTCAAAGGTAGTGATTCTTCTGTCATTCTTATTCACTCTCCAGTTCTCTAATGCATAGCAAGTAATTGGAAAGACCATGGCATGGATCAAGTGTACCTAATTCTCTAGAATGATGCTTTTTATTTCCTTTTCTTACCTAATCACTCTGACTAGGCCTTCTAATACAATATTGAATATGAGTGATAACAAAGGGCATCCTAGTATGGTTCCCATTACTAAGGAAAATATCTTTAATCTCCATCTATTGAGAATAATGTTGGCCATTGATTTCGTGTATATGTTTTTAATTATACTGAGACATTTTCCTTTGAATACTATTTTTT